CAGCTTAAACCCCAGCTAATGGAGTACCTAATGACTAATTGATCAGATCCCAGCCCAGAGAGCAGCTCTGAGTGGCCTAAAGGAATTTATGCAATTAGTTTAGGTTTGGTAGAAATTGAGTGCATGCGAAAGTAAGCTTTTTATGGTCCTGATTTATGAGAGCTGGACACCAACTCCATCTGCCCAGAGCTGGACCGCCTGGCAAAGCCTCGGGCAAGGGGAGCGGTAGGGAGTGGAGCCGGACTGACTGACTCACGTACATCTTAGAGGAGCAAGGGAGAGAGAAGGTGAGATTCCGGGTGGGATTCCACCAGACCATAAAACTATGGAGGGGCAGTGCCTCCTGCCAGTAATTCAAAATGACACTAAGGCCCAAAGAGAACCAACAAAAATTTAGGTTACCCCGGGATGAATAGTTGGCATTCTTGTGCTTGAAATCCTAGAGATTAAAAAAAAAATCCTTGCAATATTAAGTGATAGCGAGGAAAAAGGAGAGAGAAAAAAAAAAAAACGAGAACCAGCGAGGTGTTTGTGTAATTTCACCTACACAGACCAGAAAGCAGCTGAGCTGAGGCTAGAGACTGCTTCGGGGACCGAGAGGCTGCGGAGTCTCGGCGAGAGGTCTAAGTAAGACCACACGAGATCTGCAGCCCCGGGGCTCTGCGCAGCCTAGGGGAAGCCCCTCCGGAGGCGCCCATGACCCTCGACCCCGGGGGGAGCCCGGGGAGCCGGGCTGCCGGGGAAGCAGCGTCCAGGGCGGAGGGAAACCTGACCTGATCGGAAAGTAGCGATCGAACCGGAGGCTAATTCGCCCGCGGGGCCCTTGCGGGCTCTGACTGCCGCCCAGGCGGGTGCTCCGCGGCGCCCGGGGGATCTGGCCCTGGGCGGTCTCCAGCTGGTTCCTGCCGGGTTGGAGGGAGGAACAGGGAGGAGGCAGCAGGACTACTGCTCAGGGACCACCGACGGCCTGTAAGAGCTGAGAGGTGGCGGTGTGGGGGCGAGCGCCGCTGAGCCAAGACTGGACCACTGCAGTCTCGCTCCCCACCACCTCTCTGTACTACCTTCATCCCAGGTAGTCCTCCTTCCCTGCTGCAGCATGGATTGGGCCCCACCCCCCATTCCCGCACAGGGAACAGAAAGGTCAAAGAAATTTACCTAGATTTCTCACTCTAACTACTGTATTCACTTTATCGTGAGCATCTTCTGTGCCTCTGCGTTCTCATCTGTAAAATGGAATTTAAATTTTACTGAGGACTACACTTCTCTTTCTGGCCTTTGGGAGGCTGAAAGAGGAGAGTTCGAAGCCAGTCTGGAATACACAGCCAGTTTCAGGTTACCCGGAGCTACAGAGAGACCCTACCTTCAAAGGGGAGGAGAGTTTGTCTAACAAGGCATCCAGGACTCCATCCCCAGCATCCGTTAGTGCATCCACCCATCATCCATCATTCTCCTCACTGTGTGTAGGAATTACAAAATGAATGCTGGTAAAGTGCATAAACTGGTCAGGTATACAGGAAAACCTCTATATATTTTGGATATAATCGTTCAGCAAACTAAAAAGCATCAGTGTAAGAGGCTCGCTGTTTGAGAATCCCAGAGTAGCATTCTGGGAAGCAGATGTAAAGGCGGCGGGTAGACTTGCTCTCCTGATGCTCGTTTACTGCTGTGTAAATAAACAAGGTGCTATCTGGGAGTATGAGAAGGTGAGGTGAGGTCCAGGGTATAGGATACCCCGTCTCTTGGTGGTGGTGGCGGGGGGGGGGGGGGAGCCAAGAAGAGAAGGGACCAAATCAAGACCTTCAAAAGTAAAAAGAAGGAGGCGGGTCCAGGAGCTATATCCTAGGTTCCTGCATTCTGGTTCAGGGCAAAATATGGAAACAGTGGGAGGAGTCAACGACTCTGAAATTCCATTCCTCATCGTCCTGATAGAAAGTCAAGGGGCTGGGACGGGGCTCCGCCAATGGGAACAAAATATATTCTCAGGGAATTCTCAGAGGGTAAAGTCATCGTCTCTGTGTAGCTTCCACCCACTGGGTGCAGAGCTATTTCTTTTATGCTTTCCCTGTTGCAACACAGTGAATTCAGAGGCACAATACCCTCACTTTTATACAGGGCCAGACTGTGGCTCTCCAAGGGGCAAGTATTAGGCAGGTCAGTCTAGTTTGGTGAAACCTTGAACTTACCCCATGACACTCCCACTTTCCTGTTTTGAAGAAAGAGAGAGTATCCTCCTTGTCTGCCAAGAGTCGTGACCCTGCTTTGTGTAATGTGATCCCATTTAATCATCAGAGTCATCCTGGGAGATAGTTTTTCTTTTCTTATGTTCTGTCTTTCAGTTTGTCAGACAAAGGCACAGGGAGTCTGAAGCGAAAGCCCGGTAGTAAAAGGAGGAAGAGTTACTCTGCCCTTGATCTAAGCAGAGCAAAAGCAGTTTTCTTCTTGGCAGGAAATCAGAAACCTCAGCAAGCCTTGGGATGGCCAGGCACACACAGTGGGCAGTTGTCACTCTCTGCTCCTTTTCTGTGACACCCCCCCCCATTCCAGGGCACTATGTCACAGGCACACCACATGGAAGTCATGATCACCACTGGGTAAGGCACAGACAGCCTTGTCCGCTTTAGGAGAAAGGAACCTCGTCGCTTTTGAATAGACAGCACAAACCACCCTTACCCTGACCTGGGTGCCCAAGAGTCTGTCTTCCTGTTAACTCTGTTTTAACCTGAGATGTTTTCACTTTACAAAGTTGACATTTCATTCATTCAACAGATGTCCATAGTCTACTCCAGGTTGTAATCAGAGCTGAACATTTGGGTAAGAAACACTGAGGAAAGCAGACTCTCTCAGGCACACAGAGAGAAAGCCGCTGACCAGAGATTACACAGTAAGGAACCCAGGACTCCTGCCTTCCGATTCTGCCAGTCAGTCAGTGTCTGCCTGACTCATGTCGCTTAAGGTCCCTTGTCAAGATAGACAACTCCTTTTCTCTGATCCCAGAGAGCACCCAAGCCCCCCACCTGCAGAGGTCCACAGCAGCCTTCTATACACACAGCCCAACACACTGGCCTCACTTTCTCTTGATACAGGCCAAAGAAGGCTAGCTGGGGCTTGAATTGTGAATGTTGCAAGCTGGTGGGGGATCAAAACAGAAAAATCTGCTCCAGAAGTTCTTGAAATGCACACTCAGATTACTTTTCAAAATAGTTAGACGTTATTATAGGCAAAAGCTGAAGGGATGTGACTTGCCCAGGGTCACAATGTTAGGAAATGGCCCACTGATGCAAACTATGTCAGTGAGAATCCCAATCTGCTGTCACCCCCTCCCCTCCTGCAGGCTCTGTGCTTCCACCGGACAGTGTCAGAGGCCACTGTACTATCTTGGGGAAACCACATCTCCCCTGACTTCCTGGGCAAGCCAAAGGGAAAAGACAGCGGCGCCTACCGGGAGCACTCAGCAGGAGGGAGAGGGTGGGGCGCTCTGCTCCCGCCCGCAGGTAGAAGCTGGTCAAGGTACTTCACTCAAGCGGGGCACCGCAACGCCAAGAGGAGTAGAAGCGCGGTTCGAACTCTTAACCCAGTGGGTTCCAGACAGACAGCTTCTCTCTGTGTCTCCAAAAAAATGCTCGCAAACGTTTGCGGTGGTTAATCTTCTAAAAGTTAATTAAGTAACGCCAGGGAACCTTCGAAAAGTTGATACAGATGAAAACCAGTATCTTTCTTGGGGGAAAAAAGTCTGAGAGCTCTTACCTTCAGGAAACCCAGCAGCCGGCAAAGGCGCGCCCTTCTGGAGCGCTTCGCTTCGGCGCGGGACGTTCTCGGCCGCCTCGTCTGCAGCCCGGCTGGGCTCCGGCCCTGTGTTTTATACCACTATAGGCAATTAATATTGCATCAGCCGTATTTTAAATTTTCAAAACCCACAATATAATGTAATGGCATAAGGGCATTTATTATTAAAGGACACCGATGGAGAAGGAGGTGGAGGAATTGCTGGGGTGGTTGCGCAAGTCGGGTGCGAGGGGGCTGCGGCCTGAGGAACTGGGGGCTATCCACAAGTTCGCTTTTACAGAGGTTGAGGGGAGGGATGTGACTGCTAGGGAACAGGACGTGGAACCAAAGCCTGTTTTATTCGGAATTTCGGGCCAGAGGCAGAGGAGCCAGCGCTCTTTGAAGACGCAACCGGGAAATGTGCAGACGACTCCTGGTCCTGTAGCATTAATTTTTTAAACCACGAACGTGTTTCTAAGACTCACACACATTCGAAAAGTTTCTGCTCATATTGAGTGGAAAGAAAGAAAGGTACTGAATTTGCTGGCATCTGTTGGGTGCGGAGCACTGATAGGTATTTTGCAACAGGTATCTCAATCCCTCTGCCAAGACACACTATTCTGTGATGATCTTCAGGCGATAATTTCAAATGAAGAAATTTAGAAGAGGTTTCGATATTCTGTCGGAAGAATTGGTTTTTCCCCCACCCACCCTTGCCTTTGCCTCTAATGCCTCATCTCTGCAGCTGTTTGAATCCTTATAAATTGTATTGTCTTATAAAGTGTCACACACCCCCTACCAGACACCTTCAATAAATGGTTTTACCCAGTCTTGAGCATAACAATGTGAATTGGATAATGGACCTTCCTTCTGTAGACCAACAATACTGACCAGGAGACATAGAAAAGTTAGGAAACTAGCCCCAAGGTGATTTAGCTTTTGAGTGGGAGGATGTGAGTTTGAACTCCCAATCAGCCAGCTTTCCAAGTTTCCAAGTTAAGAGAATAGAGTCACAGTTTGGCATCAGGAAGTAGAGGGAATTGCCTTTGAAGACATTGCAGATCCCAGAGAGTGGAAGCCAGGGATCGCCTTGAGTTTATAGTAAGGGTGTGAGAGTGCCTGAGAAGGGAGTGGGGAAGAGAGAAGAGTTTTGAAGTCCAGTTATCTTTAGCACCAGGAAAGGAAAATGATTGCAATTCAGGTCGAAAAATAAAGCATTTATTTTAGAAGTAGTATAAGGGATAAAGAGAAGAAACACAATGTTTTATTTGTATCTATTCCAGAAACGAAACCAAAGGTCACACGGCAACACACAAACTACACGAAGCAATGAAAAATAAAATGCTCGGGAACTGTGACTGCAGGGAGAAGGGTCCAGTTCTGTGGTCCCGCTCTTACGCTGCTCAAAAGTATACCAGACTGTCCACAAGAGACACACAAAGCCTGGCAGAGAACTCAACGCAGAGTTAACTAAGTAACAAGAACTAGCTATGCCAGCAGCCACAGTCATAAAAGTGCAACAGTTAGGTTAGATGTGTTGGAAGGATTTGCATATAATTCCTGAAGTTACAGTCACTTGGGAACACTGGGCTGACATTCTGATGAGAGCAGTGAGCTGAGATGAAGGAATCTTCTTCAGTTGATCTGATCTGAAACCACCAACCCCGCCCCTCCAGAAAGCAAATACTCCTCAAATTCCTGGAGGTCGACGAAGATAGCCAGAGCTGGCCTCTGTTCACCAACAGCCAAGAAGACATCGCAAGTGTTTTCAGTCTGGGTTGGGCCCACTTTGCTGAAAATCCTATTGACTACCAACCACCCAGAACTCCCAACATCTCGCACACTGTTCCTGAATTTAACCCATGCTACTTATGAGGATGTACGGTAAACCAACCGATACAATGGGAAGAATTTAGGTGCAGAAAGGAATTATTATAAGGCTATCCTTTGGAAACATGTGTTTTATATACTCTAATAAATTAGTTAATCTCCATGTTTGTGTCCCGGGTAAATATCCTAGACTTTATATTATTATCTACCGCTCTTTTCCTTACCTTCGCCCTTACCTAATGATGCCTAGCCAAGAAGTGGTACTTTCTCCTTGCGGTCGGATTGCCAGGTCAATTCACTACCCCGTGTGCTTCAGGGATACAGCCCTGAGGTCCTGCGGTCTCAAGAGCAAGGCCGAGTTTCAGCACCACGGACAGCACAACGTCCGGCCAAGCTTTCCCTTGGGGAAAATTTTTCTTTTTTTCCCCTAGCGCCAGAACTTTTTTCTTTTTTGGTGGGAACAGAGAGAAAAAGGAGGAAAAGATGGCCAGGAGGCAATTAAGCGGGACAAAGGGGGAAAGTCTGTGACTCGGGGGGGAAAGAGCCTGACCTGCCAGGAAACACCCTGGAGTGTCCCGTAACGTCCCCCTCCCATCGGAAGGGGGCGATGCCACTAGGCTCTCCAGGCTCTTCCGGACGCCGCACCCGCCGCAATCAGTGGACAGCAGAGTACTTCATTCGTTTCTGTTTCTGTCTCTGGTTACAGAACCAGACCCTCACCACATTCTTTTTAAGGTCCAGTTTCTCAGCGATGGCCGCGATCTTCTCGGATGAAGGACGCGGCTGGATGGCGAAATAGGCTTCGAGTGAGCGCTTCTCTGGAGCGGCGATGGATGTGCGTTTGCGCTTACGCTCACTGCCGTTGAAGAGCTCCGGCTTGCTGTTCTTCTCTCGGTAGGCGGCCTCGGCCTCCTCCAGCCAGGCCTGGAGGACCGGCTTGAGCGCGATCATGTTGTTGTGCGACAGAGTAAGAGACTCGAACCTGCAGATGGTGCTCTGGCTGAGCGAGCCCACGCCGGGGATTTTAAGATTGGCTAAAGCCGCGCCCACGTCCGCCTGGGTTACCCCCAACTTGATGCGCCTTTGCTTGAAGCGCTCGGCGAACGCTTCCAGCTCTCGAGGGTCTGACTCCACATCGCTGAGACACGCGGGCATGGCACTGTGAGGTGCTACGGCATGCGGGTGACTCATGCCCATGGCCTGATGCAAGGAGCCCATGGCGCCTAGATGATGCGGGTGGATCTGCGCCGGCATCACCGAGTGCTCCGGGGCCCCTAGGCCGCTCACGCTCAGCGTGGGCGAGATGTGCTCCAGTAAGTCGCCCTCGAGGCCCTGATGTACCGCGTGATGCGGGTGCGAGGTGAGTGCAGCCGGGTGGGAGATGGGCACCGTGGGCGAGGTGGACGTGCAGGGCACGCTGCTCATGGTATGGTAGGTGGCGTCGGGCTTGAACGGATGGTTCTTGCCGTGGGAGACGATATCCACCGCCGCCAGAGCTTCGGCGCGTGCCAGCAGGCTCTCATCAAAGCTTCCAAATATATTACCCTGCAGCTGCAAGCGAGAAGGCGCACAGCACGGTCAGTGGGGAATACTGTCAACTCAGGATTAAAACACATTTTCAAGCAACCGAGATGCCTCTCCTCAAAGCCCAGGTCATAAAAATTAATACGGAGGCAGCCTCTCTGTTGGAACAGACGTGTGGATCAGAGACATGAATGAGAGAGAAAGAGAGAGAGAGAGAGAGAGAGAGAGCGCCGCGAGAGAGCGCGGGGGAGACAAGGCGAGGGGTTCAGACAGCGGCGATTGTTCTGGGCGACATGAAAAAAACATGAAGCTAGTGCCTGTCAAAAAATGTGCCTTAGAGCGGTAATTATGCTCCGCTACGTACCTGCGGGGCTGGGAGACAAACTCGGCGCATGGCCTCAGAGCCGGAGTGCAGGCTGGAGAATTTGGGTTCTTGCAGTACGGGGTGCATGCCGAAAGGCTGCTTGGCGTTCATGGCCATCATCTTCGGGAGTCTGGCAGGGAGGCAGCGGGGGACATGGAATCAAGCTCGTCTCGGTAGCTCTCCGCGTTCCAAGTGAGCGCCGCTCAGCGCCAGCGCTCCCCTCGCCCTCTCGCTTGCTGCCTGCCCTCTCCCCCACCTGCTTCTTCACTCATCTTACAAGCAGTCTGCCAGGAAGGGCCCGGGCACGCGCAGGCGTGCACACGCGTCCGGGACTCGCAGGGGCGGCCCGGGAGGCAAGGCGGGACCGCAGGTCTCGGCGCGCCACTCTGAGCCTGATGCGGCCGCCCCCTCCACAGCATTTATACCCCCGGCCTGGCAGGGCTTCTTCCTGTCCGCCCCGCCCCACCTGGCTCCAGCCTGCCAGACTTTACAAATTCTTTCTTCTTCTTCCTGGACTTCTTTGCACAAAGTCCTAAACCTTTGTCCTGTCCCAGCTCGAATTGCCTGGATTAAAGGGCAGACTCAAGCTCCCAACACACACACACACACACACACACTCGGCAAACACACACACACTCGGCAAACACACACACACTCGGCAAACTGGCCATTTCCTAGGGTTTGAAGCTCAAAGCCTGCATCCTGGTGCATATTGAATAGGTGCCTCCAAATTTAGAAACCGACCTGGGCAAGGACCAGAGGCTACCAGAATGAGCATCGGGTGATATTCCCTTCCTCTGTGGGCCTGGGCAGAAGAAAGGGCATTCCTGATCCACAAGCCTGTGACTACTTCCTAACCCTCGCCGTTTCTGCTTTCATTTGAGAAACAGAACTTGGCCCACTCCCTTTTCCTCTAGCCCCCGTAAACCAAGAAAGTTTGCTAAGAAACAGTTGAGGATAGCCGGCCTAGCCTTGGGCAATACTTCTCCATACTTCTGAGAGGCACGACTTAGCAGCCTCCAATACCTGTAACAACAGCCATCATTTTTGAACTACTAATTTGTGCGAGGCAATTCAGGCAATATTTATTATTATTATTATTATTATTAAAATAATAAAGAAAGTATTGAGTACTCGATATTGGGTAAGTATTGAGTTAGTTTATAGGACCTAAGTTCTAGACACCACGGAATAACTACTGCTAGCCCACTAGACAAGCGAAGGAAATAAGAGCCAAATAAGTTAGCTCAAGATCTCCTAGCTGTGAGCAGTGTCATTCACTCACTGATTTGGCACCAACACCACGTCTGACTTTGGGCCCTTCACCGCTTAGCCTCCCCTTCTCCTCTTCTTTTTTTAGGAAGTTTCCCAACTTAAGGGTCCTAAATTTGGCTCTGCCCCACCCCCTGTGTCCCCTATTTCCCTAGACTCCTCCCCTTCTTTCCTCTCCCTTCCTGGGAGCTAATAAACATCATGAATAATGGATGGGGAATCCTGGGACTGTGGCCGCTGGAGAGCTGCCTTCGGGTTGGAAGAGAAATTCTTCCTGCCCAGCTGTGTCCTGCAGCACTGTCTCCGTGCTCAAGAGTGCTGGGTTTCCCAGAACCTTAACACTGAGGGGGCAGAGTGTGAAAAGTCTAGGCCCTAGGGATGAATTTGGTCTAGATGACACCCTATACAGACCTGGTTCCCCTCTTTCCTCAGGACCACCAGCCAGTCCTTTCTCTACATATCCCAAAGCACATTCTAGGTCCTTCCTTGATGTGGCAAAAACAAACAAACACAACAAAAACAAACAAAAAAATATGTGAGGGAGGCCAACTGAAATGGTGCTCCCTTAGCTTTCTTGGGTCTTGGATGATGATGAAGAGGAGGAGGAAGAGGAAGAGGAGGAGGAGGAGGAGGAGGAGGAGGAGGAGGAGGAGGAGCATTTAAAGTCATAAAGCATTGAGTACTCAGGACACTTCTTCACAACCCAGTGAAGGCTGCCGTCAGACTCAAAGCACACTTCTGCCTCTGCTTCTACTGACTGAGAGTCCAGGAGGCAGCCATCTTGAAGCCTCTGGATCACAGTGCTCATCTGTATACAGGAGGCAATAGTTTCCCCCAGTGGAGTAAAGATTACTTGGTAGTAAGCACTTGAAATGTTGTCTGGCACGGTGAAAGGATGGAACAAATGTTAGCACCTCTTCTTTAACCTAAAGAGCAGCCTGCAGTCTCTCCAGGAATGTGTTCTTTCTGCAGATGCGAACTGTTCTTCCCCTTCAGTACTGGCTTTGTGCCATAACACAAGCCCCCCCCCCAAAGTCCCCAGAAGTCAAACATGTATGATTTTTATCTCCCACTAGCTTTTAAGACTCCTCAGTCTTGTTTCCTGCCCAGGGTGGAGTCTAAAGGGACAGGAGCATAAACATGGAGGTATTGGACCTATATTTTGCCTGGCCCATGGAGCCTCTTAAGGGCCACTTTTTGTGCCATAATACTCTGGTTGTCTGTGAAGACAAATACTTGGGAAAGATTCATTCACACCCATCCTCTTCTACTCCTCTGTCACTCATGAACTTGGAAAATACTGACTAGGTGGGGCTGGAGAGATGGCTCAGTGGTTAAGAGCACTGACTGATCTTCCAGAGGACCTGAGTTCAATTCCCAATGCCCACATGGCAGCCTGTAACTGCAGTTTCAGGGGATCCAATAATGTCAAGCAGACATATATGCAGGCAAAACACCAATGCACATAGAATAAAAATAAATAAGTCATTAAAAAATATTGACCAGGACAATACTACCATTTCCCTCGGGCCCCTAGAAAACACCCTCCTGTCTTTTCTACCCATAAGGTCTACTAGCAATGGTCAGTAGTAAGCAATGGTCAGTAGTAAGCTGACACCTAGCAGTAAAACCAGCCTCTGTGTGTGCATGTGCACGTGTATGTGTGTGCATTTTGAATATTTATTTTTGTGTCCCATTTTTAAATTAATCTTTTATACAGTGCTATAGTCAACATGACTGGAACTCAACCATCAATTAGCCTGAAAGGTAAGAAATGCAAATTTCAAGGGAATTATTTTTTTCTTCTTTACATTTTAATAAATATGTTTTCTTTATGCTATAGCGTCAGAAAAAGGCCATTAAACCATGTAAATCTGAAAGATAGATGTGGTTGTCCACACCTGTGACCTCAGCACTTGGGATGTGGGTGGAGGAAACTGGGAGTTGTATACTCACATTGATGACAGAGTTCAAGGCCAGCTTGGGCTATGTGAGATCTTAAAGAAAACAAAGCAAACAATAACAGAAAACTAATAATTGATAATAATTATTAATCAATTAATTAAATATTAAATAATAATTAATAATAAGACCTGAATAATTATTGCTAGAGATGACTCTTAGAAAATCTGATTATAGCCTTGTCTGAACATTAACCTATTGATGGAGACAGAGTGAAACTACATGCAAAGACATCCAGCTACAGAAAGGAGCTAAAATTTTAAAAAGCAATTAAGTGTGGTCATACATGTACTCACTTGGCTTTTAAAAGGACCTGTAAAAAGATGATGTGGACCTCCTTTATCAAATCTTTTCTGTCACATCACAAGCCTTATCAAGGTCTTTAGATAAGACTGGGGAAATCGGTGAAGGTGGGGGAGGGGGCAGGGGGCAGAGGGGCAGGACATATGATGACAAGGGAACAACAAACCTAAAAAAAAAAAAAAAAAAAAAGCAAGTACTGGGGCTGTAGCAGTGACCCTGAGGCTAAGAAGACCCAAGTTCAGTTCCCAGCACCCACATGGTGACTCAGAATTATTTATTAATTCCAGTCCCAGGGAATCTGATGATGTCCTTTTCAGGCCTCCAGGGGCATTTCACATAGGTGATACACAAACATATATACATACAAAACACCTATACACATAAAATAATAGATCTTTTTTTTAGAAAGGATGAAAGTACAGGATAGCCCTTAGAATGCACTTTTCAGAACTTACAAACTTAAATTCAATTAGATGAAAATCTAATAAAACCCAGTCAACCAGCATCTGTAATTGGTACATGCAAGAGAGATTGGCCTGCGGTGAACTACAGAATGTATGCTTATACCATGGCATTATACTGTATTAAAACACACATAGAAAGACAGGTGGGAGGCCAGTCTGGCTTACATCAATAGTTCAAGATCAGCTAAAGCTATATAATGGGGATCCCACCTAGAACAACAAATAAAAAAAGAATGCCCTATACTCATGGAGTCCAAAATAATCTCAGGGTTCAGCAAAGGGTACCAAAAGAGTCACATTTTTCATTCTATGAGGTCTCTGAAATATCCACTGCTAGCTGAATTTCATGGCAGGTTCTGTGGATATAGAGGCACTGTTTCAAAATCTTAGGGTTTAAGGCAGGTATAGTGGCACTTGAAGGGGCAGAGGCAGGTGGATTTCTGTAAGTTTGAGGCCAGCCTGATCTACATAGTGAGTTCCAGGACATCCAGGGCTACATAAGTGAGACCCTATCCCAAAAAAATGAAGGAAGGAAGGAAGGAAGGAAGGAAGGAAGGAAGGAAGGAAGGAAAGAAGGGAGGGAGGAAGGAAGGAAGGAAGGAAGGAAGGAAGGAAGGAAGGAAGGAACCAAGATCTTAAGAGTTTGACAAGGAAGTGTGGTTACTATATAAGTCAGGACTCAGAGCAGCAAGTTCTCCAGAGAGATACAAGACAATGACAAGGACATTTTCCTGCGGGCTAATGGCTTTCAACATTAGTATGAATAAGAAGCAACTCCAGTTTCTTAAAATAGAGCACACAAACTCAGACTCAGAGATTCTGACAAGGGCTGTGGTGGTTAATCCTCCTTGTCAACTTGACTGTATTTAGAATTACCTGAAGACTGATGAGATCAAGCTGTGAGTATGAGAATTAAGTAAAGGGGGGAAAATGATTCATCTTGAACATAGGTAATGCTGTCCCCATGGCTTGTGGACCCTGCTGGAATAAATGGGTTCAAGAGGGAAAGTCAACAGGGGCTAGCATTCTCCTTTCTCCACCTCCTGACCCAGCACAGCCTGATATGCTTTACTGACTCTCCCACACTGAGGTACTGGATACAAAATAAATCTTCTCTTTAGTTGTTTCTATCAGGGACAAGAAAAGTAATACAAAAAGTTAGCAC